CATAGGGACTTCTAAATGCCTTAACTAATTCTGTGCTACTGCTACTGCTACTGTGGGCAGTAATATTTTCTCACTGTGCATTTAGCCATATTGAATAATTTGTGCCAGAAAACTATCAAGGTGGTTAGTTCTTTCTGTAAGTTTGCACTGTTTTCTCAGTAAATAACATATGAATATGTCAAAAAACAGAAATCCCAGCCTAATCCCATTGTGACCTTACTGGTAAACTCTCTCTTCATCACAAAAAAGACAATTGACCTTTGTTTTGTGTTTTTAATGATTGCTGATACAGAAAAGACATTCACCTCTTTTTTATCAAATCAGTTTGCTTCTTTGGGAGTTTTCAGCAAGAGACATTGCTCAAATCTTGCATTTGAAATATTTTTTAACAGTCTGACAGATCACCTGTAACCATGTGGGTGTCAGGGCATTCAGATACTTAAGCCTGTCTGCATTCTTCAGAACCTGTGTTTCAGTCTGTCCCATTTATCGTGAGAATAACACACCAGATTAAGTGATACTGGAATTGGATTCCTGGGGCCCTATTCAGTGGACACTACACTGGCCCTTTGGAGATTTTCACAGAGCCAGACCTGCCAACAGGTTCTGGGTTTGCTTCTAGTGGTGAGATGTTGATCAGGTGGTTTTTTACTTCCTAACCTTGGTAGTTTCTTACAGAATGAACCACATGGAGCACTTGATTTCATGGCAGCTGATCTTACAAAATAGTTTTTGAAGGAGATGATGAGTACTTTGAATTTCTTTAGACAGTTTACATAGCAGCTGTAAAACATAGTTGGTACTATGGCTTCTGAGAAGTTTTAAAGATTAATGCATATCTTTATTATCTTGTCATCAGAAGATACTCTTGCTAACAGCTGGGTTCGGGATAGAGTAGTACCTGGGAAAGGGTGATTCCAGGATGGAAACCTTGACCTCTTCTATTTTGGATATTTAAATAGTAGTAATGTTTTGCTTTTTTCCCAGAGGGTTTTTTTTGTTTGTTTGTTTGTTTGTTTTTTTGTTTGTTTTTTTTTTTTTTTTTTTTTTTTTTTT